TGTGTCTAGATTGCTGAGCACAGCACACAGTAGGTCCACACAGTCCCTCTCTACTGCAGTTCTTAGAAAATGATACCCGGTTTTAGATGAGTGATTTTTTTTTTTTTTAAAGCCATTACAAGTTTCTGTTATGGGCATGGTCCTGGCACTGTGGGTGGAGTGGGTGGGCAGTCAGTGTTGTTTAGGAAAATGAGTCTGAAGATAGCCACCCCATTATTGGGCACAGGGTTTGGCTGTCAGCTTCTCTTGCTGAGATGGAGCCTGCCTGATTCCCTCTCTTCTCAAACACCCACAGTGTCTCTCAGGAATTTCTCTGGCTTTGTATTTTGCTTAAGAGTTGTTGTCATCTTCCCCCAAAAGATTTGCTTTGTCTTCTCATCACACGGCTCCTGAAGTCATCCCCCAGTGAGTGGGCTGAGGCAACTCCCTTGACTCAAATGCACTTGTCCCTGCCGGCTGCTCTACTTAGTGGACCCCCTTGGCCTGGTGCTTTGGTCTCTAGCCCTTTCATCCTGTCCCCTTCATTGAGTCATCTTCAAGCCCTGACTCCTAGAGGACACACACACATATAGGCATCAGGAAACCATGGTGGGGACAGTTAAGCAGGAGGAAAGGGGGACCCTGCTTCTGACCAGATGTAAAGCAGATGTGGGGATGTCAGCTGCAAAGGAGTTGCGTCATCCTGGTGCACTGCCTCATTTTATGGATGGGAACATGGGCAGGAGAGGGAAGGCTTTCTACCAATGATAGCTGTCATTTGAAACCTCATGCCCCAAGCGAGACCCTCACAGCTCCATGTGGCAGGTGTGGGGCAAGGTGCTAGAAGTACAGACTTATTTTTCTGTTTTTTGCTGAAATATAATCTTGAGCCATGCTCGTTGGTTTTTAAATCCCCTAGAGCTATTTGGGAGAGGATTGTGGGCGTGCTGTGGTCAGGGAGTTAAATCTGGTGTTGGTGGCTGTGTAGTTGGTAAGTGTGTCGCTGTAGTGACTGAGCTGCATGTGGTTCTGGGCACCTCATTTGGCCCACAGTGAGGGTGAGCAGCCTCACTGTGAGCCCAGATTCACACGGGCTGCTGACTGTTCAGTGGTGGGCACTCAAGGCTTTGAGTAGGGGACCCACCGGTGTTTTCTGGGCGCTTGTGCCATGCCAGGCCCTAGGCCACGGCTACGGAAGTGGCAACAAAGGGGCTCACTGTTGAGGAGAGGAGGCAACAGTTTGACAGAGGTTCTAGGCATGTAGGCTGCCCCTTAGGCTGCTCCAGGCCGAAGAGACTCTTAGAATGTCCGTCTCCCTCTGTGAAGACTCTGTGACTCTTGTCCAGTTATTTCATTTTGGAGGATCATTTTGGTTTTTTATTTTTTGAGACAAGGTATCGCTGTGTAGTGCAGGCTGGTCTTGAACACACTATGTAGCCCAGGCTTGCCTCAAACTTGTGGCGATCCTCCTGCCTCAGCCTCCCAAGTGCTGGGATTATAGGCATTCTGCCACCACACCTGGCTGGGAGAATTATTTTGATACACAGGAAGTTCATGTTGAGCTTGGATGGTTGGCTCCTTTTGGGAGAGATGAGAGGAGTTGAGGAAAGAGAATGCTCATTTATTCCAGTCTGAGTAAACTGAAGTCAGTCCGACCCTCTGTTCCCTGCCAGCAACCCAGAGTTGAGAGCTGGGAGCAGGTGTCTTGAGCTATGGTTGGAAGAGAGTCTCACTATTCCTGAGCAACACCTCTTGCACAGAGGCCACACTTGTTCACTGGGCTGTGATGACCCTGGGGGCCACCACTCAGACACAAGAGCCCAGCCCACAGCAGATGCTGGCAAATGCATGCAGGAGCTCCCAGTGGGGGTTTGTGGAAGAAGCAGCCCAGTGGGCGGGGTTGTAGTTTCTCTGCCTGAGCACTGGGCTCAGAGGCCTCTTGGGCCCCCTCGGTCTATGTGTCTGTTTGATGACCACTCAGCTTTTCCTTCTGACTCAGGGGCATGTGATGTGACAATCCTGTTTGTTTGGTGGCATGGTGGGTACATGAGAGTCAAACATTTCACAGCTCTTACAAGGTGTGGGAGGTGGGAGTACCCGGCTGGCCTTTTGCCACCATGGCTGCTGTGGCTCAGAGGTCAGAGCTCAATCATGCAGGGGCCTCAGTGAGTCTAGCGGGAAGGTGAGGAGAATGGGTAGCCTGCTGGCGGGGCGGAGGGGAGAGTCACACTACAATCTAATCACCATGGGCTCTGAGTGATGGAAACTTCTGGGGCCTGTCTGTGGTAGTCATCAGAGGCACATCTGTGGCCTTAAATGGATTTATTAAAATGAAGAAAGATTGAAAATCATTGAATTAAGAGCTTAGTATAGGCTCTATAGAAAGAAAGCACAGAGAAAGAGAAGAGCTTTCTAGTTCAGCATCAGAGGAACACTGATGAGGCTGGTGGGGTGGAGTGTTGGTGAGGGGAGAAGGAGAGGCCCTGGCCAGGACAGCCTGGATGACGTTGTCTGGGCCCTCACAGCCCAAACCTCAAAGCATGTCAAATTGGAGAGTCCAGTCTCTACAGTCATGTGGTGTTTACCAACAAGGGCATGGTCTGAGAAATGCGTCATTGGGAAAACATCATAGCATGAGTAGGTACTTATATAAACCAAGAGGGCCATATCACTAGGTGATATCCACTCATGGGACAACTATTGTGCATGCTGTCCTTTGATGCCTCAGGCAGCTTGTGAGGGCCATGGACTGATGAGCAGGAGCCTCCTTGGAAGGTTGTTCTTTCCAGGAATGCAGAGGTGCCAGTGGAGGAGCTTTGAGGTCCTCCTGGTAAATGGGCCCTGCCTGGGAGGACTGCAGGCCTCACATGGTATGCTGGTCACTTGTCCCACTCTTGAGTTTTCTGAAACTTGGTCCCGGGGAAAGCACCAGTGCTCCTGACCTGGAGGGCTCCTAATACCTGCTGTCTGGTCCCTGTCCTGCTGAGCTTCTGGCTGGTGAGCACATTCTTCAGTGAAGTTCCTGCTGTTGTCACTGCTCTGCCTCTGACATCTTGATCCCAGGTTGGCATCTGGTGGTTGAGTGATGACAGGAAAGTACAATGGCTTGCAAGTATATTTGGTCCCTCAGTTGCTGTGCCTTCTTGGGAACCTGCCATTACTCAGCAAGCTCTGGTGGGGGAAAGGGTCTATGTTTTTTGAAACTTTCTTCTCTTTTTTTTGTTTCCTGTTTTTCCTCGAAATCATTTTATTTTATTTTTATATTGTAGTAATGCTATATACTTACTAAAAAATTCAGAGCGTGAAAATGGCAGATATTTCCAAGAATCAAGTAAAGACTACCTGAGATCGCACCACCTTCCTCAGCCAGGCCTGTTAACCTCTTGCTAACTATCCACCTGGAGGGATATCTGAGTGACTCAGCCCTGTCCCCACTTTACACTCAGGCTCTGCATGCAGAGCTGGTATTGCGCAAATGGTATCCCATGGCCTATGATGTCTTGCACCTGGTATTTCACAGTAGCTGTTCCTAGGGAATGTTCCCCTTTAGTAAAAGTGAATCCACTTTATCCAGGTTAATGACAGTATAGGATTCCTGGGGCTGTTGGGGGGCAGGGCATACCCAGGCTTGTGGCTCCACCCAGGTGGAGAAGAGGCAGGTGACAAGCAAGCACAGGCTGGAGGCTTTGCGTCCCCCCAGGCCTTGTTCCCTCCACTTGGAAGAGTAAATGCACAAACTGTTCTCAGAGGATTAAGTGGGTTAATTCAGGTAAAGTGCCCTGGGCCACTGTTAGCTGCCATTGTACTCTTCCTTGTTACTCCATTATGAGTACCTTTGAGAGGAAGAGCTGTAGGTGGATTCTGGAAGGATGGGTAGGCATGTGCCCTCCTGCCCCATGTGCCTGAGCCAGGGTGGCACCTCTTTACCTGCCTATCTCTCCTTGGGGAGCAGAAACTGCCTTGGTCCCTGGCTTTGGGGTTCCTTTCTGGCCCAAGCCATACATGGTCTTCTCTGGCATTGAGTGGAAGGTGCTTCCCAGCATTCCTCTTGTCTCTAGCTGAGGCTTTGCTGCTGGAAGCTCCTTCCATGGGCAGGGGACTCTTGCCATTCCCTGCACTGGCCTGGAGAATCTGAGGTGGCCTTTGTGACAGTGGCTATGCTGTCCTCATCTAAGAACCTCTTTTATCTACTTTTGCTTAGAGAATGCTAGGTACTGTCATAATGAAAGTTCAGCTGGAGGAAGAGATAGTTGTGGCTGTAGTCGTGTGGCCAGAAGGACTCTTGATGTATCTTTCTAGAATGGATTTCAGGCAGAGAGGGAAGAAACATGTTCATGTTTCTCTGTCAGGAGATCACACGCTCCTCCCAGCCAAGACATGCTCACTAACCATCCAAGTGCTGGCCTCCAAGTACATGCACTTGAAAGCCAGAGTGGGTACTTTTTCCCCCAAGGCCCAAACACAAGGCAAGTGGCATGCATATTGCAGGGGTGTGTCACGTTGGTCCACTGCCCAGGCACCTGCAGTAATGCCCACCCCAGCCTCTTACCTGTCGCCTGGGGCCCTGACTGTGCCCTGTTCACCTTAGCCATTGGCTCTTCTTTGGGGCTTCCACTTCTCTAGTCAGCAGCACAGTTTCTTTTGGGAAAGAACATAGTCTGAATCAGAGGGGTAAGTTCTGGTCCCAGTGCTGTGGCCTGGGGCAAATCAGTGCATCTCTTTGTCCTCTAGCTTCTTATTGTGGACATGAGTATGATGATAAAGCCAGGACTGTCAATGTGAGCTGTGTCATGTTCACTCACTTCTGCCCATCTGTGATCCCATAGTCTGGAGGTCTCCTCAGTGGCGCTTGCACTTAGCCACACACAAGCTCCCGGGCCTGGGGCTGAGGAGGACTGGAGGCTGAGTGAGTGCTCAGTCCTTTGTCCCCTGGCTATCATCATTCAGGAACTGCTAGTTTTCCTGTGTGTTTAGACTCTAGATGACCTGTGGTACTTTTGTTTGTTTGTTTGTTCTGTTAGGGACCTGCCATCACTGTTGCCTTTTCAAGAACTGGGGAGTATTTTGCTTCTGGAGGCTCTGATGAACAGGTGAGTAAACAATGGCCTGAGGCCTCTGTACTGATCCTGCTCAGAACCCAACAGGAGGCTTGAGGCCATCTGGGAGATGGGCCCTGGTGACTTTCAGTGACCACAAAGGCCCTGCTGGAGCTTGTGGTTGGGGTGCTCAGGTCCAAGGCCCTTGGTGCTTCAGAGCAGGTCTCTTGCAGGTGCTAGCTTTGTGCCAGAGTTTCAAAAGCCCTCGCTATTCAAACTAGCATGGATTGGAAGGAGTCTGCGTCATTAGTGCCATGAAAAAGTTGAAATTTTAAAATTAGGTTTCTTCCTGATTATGCAAGGTATTACTGAAATTATGGCGAATATTAACATTTTTAAAAAATTTTTTACAGTAAAAGATGTATTGCCATTAATTCCCCTCACTTCAAATACACCCCATCATTCTTGCCACTTTCTGAAGCAGTTCTGGAAGTCCTTTTTCATGTCTGTAGTAGCATTGTTATGGCTGCCTTAAGGTCCTGAATCAATTAAAATATTTGCCTTTCATGGTTATTTTGACTTTGGGGAATAGCCAGAAGCCTCATGGTACCAGATCTGGTTAATAAAGTGGATGAGGACACACCATGACGTTTTTACAAGCCTGTCTTTTCTTTGGATGGTGCTCAGCAACAGCATTCACTGTGTTTTTAATCACACCTTGTAAATACACTCATGAAAGAGGATTTTGAAGTGAGGGGGAATATTTGGAAGGGGATTAATGGCAGTGTGTCTTTTTTTTTTTAATTTTATTTTGAGACAGGATCTCACTGTGTAGTTCGGGCTCACTGTGAACTCACTGTGTAGTCCAGGCTGACCCAGAACACACAGCGATTCTCTTGCCTCGACCTCCTGAGTGTTGGGATTATTGGCATGTGCCACAACACCCAGCCAGCAGTGTTCTTTTTACTGTAATTTATTTTAAACATTCACCATATATTTTGATCATCTTGGTAAACCAATAGATAAGAGTTATTGGCTGCTTACTACAGGTTTGGTAATATAGTTAATGTGACAAGACCATCATACCTCATTTAGTCCTCACTATAGCCCTTTGGGACAAGTCCTCTTTATTTCATTTTATAGATGAGGAAACTGAATCCCAGTAGATAGCACAGCTGGAATAACACTGGACCTGAGCCATGCCCCTGCCTTGGGAGCCTCTACCTCGTGGTCTGCTGCCCTTTGCTTTTTGTGTACTGTTGGAGGGGCAACATTTTCAGTATCGTTGGCTGCAGAGAGAGGACATTTTGAGGTTTCCTGTCCCACTTCATTGCCCTTTATGTTAAGGCTTCAGTCTGTTAACCCTGGCATCCTCTGCCCAGGCTGCTAAATGCCAGTGACCTGTCTTGGTGGGCACCCTGCCACTAAGATCTAGCCCACAGCCCAGCTCTAGTGAGGCCAGGAGCATTGAGGCGTCTGCCTGCCTGTAGCCTCTCCCCAGACTATCTGGGCAGTGCTTCTTGTCCAGAAAACTGCATTCTCCTGGGGAAGGGAGAAAAGGACAGCTGCTATGGGCCGCTCTTGACCTGCTGGGTTGCTGAGAACTTTCATGCTTGAGTGCCATGGCTCAGGCAACTTAGCACAGGCAGTCCCACTAGCCCTTCTTGAGTCCTGGCCCCAGCTAAGTGTACTGATTTGGTTTCAGGCTCTGCCATTAAGGCAGAGGGTAGTGGGGGGCTCCTTGGCCATAGCCTAGATAGGAAATAGCAGATGTCTTCCCACTCCAGCACCAGTCCTTATGTGCTAGCAGCCAAAGGAGGCAGAAGGCAGAGGGGTGTCCCAAGTCTTCCGTGACTATGGAGGCCTGACTTATTGCCTAAAAGACACAGGAGCTGCTGCAATAGACACAAACAGTAAATAGAGTTGTGGTAAATAAAATATAATAAATTCACAGCCAAGTGCCTGGTGGAAAGTAGGGTTTACACTTGCTCTAACCTTTCCTCAGGCAGCCAGACTATGAGCTCTCTGGTTGCCTCGATTGACTGATTGGTGTTGGGGATGGAATCTAGGGTACTCTACTTTTTTTTTTTTTTTGGTACTGGGGATTGAACTCAGGTCCTTGCGCTTGCGCAGCAGGTGGCAAAACCACTGAGCTAAATCCCCGGCCAGGGTACTCTACTTTGAGCTATATCTCCAGCTTTTTTTTTTTGGTACTACTGGAGATTGAACCCAAGATCTTCACACTGACCTATAGCCCCAGCCCATTTCCTAAACACACACACACACACACACACACACACACACACACACATCTGTTTATGTGTGTATATAACATACATATATATATATTTTTTTTTCTTTTTTCTTTTTTTTTTTTTTTGAGACAGTGTCTCACTAAGTTGCCCAAGCTGGGCTTGAACTTGTGATCCTCCTGCCTAAGACTCCCAGAGTGCTGAGATTACAGGTATCTACCACTACACTGGGTTTACCCAGCCCTTTTTGTTTTGTTTTTGTTTTTTGAGACAAGGTCTCACTGTGTAGTTCAGACGGGTCGTGAACTCATTATGTATTCCAGGCTGGCCTCAAACTTGCAGCATCCTCCTGCCTCAGCCTCCTGAGTGCTACCTTGTCCTTTTTTTGTTTGTTTTGTTTTGGTACCGGGGATCGAACTCTGGACTGTGGGCTTGCGTGGCAGGGGCTGGAACCACTGAGCTAAATCCCTGGCCCATTACCCTGCCCTTTTAAAAACTGTGTTTGCTAAGATTATAGGTGTGCACTACTGTACCTTCCCCCTGACTGGCTTTCAGAAGTCTGCTTGAGAGCTCTTTGGTGTAACATTTGATACTATCTCTTCACATTTATGCTTGCCACTCAGCTTCTAGGAATTTATTTACCAGTTAGGTCTGCACAGTCATACAAGGACTTTGTGTACAAAGGTGTGTGTCTGCAAATGTTTTGACTATAAAATGATGAATGAAAGATCCAGGGTGCCCATCTCTCTGGGCATAGTAAACAGTGACGCTGCTCAGGGAGGGAGTGGTGAGGGGCCTCCTGTAGAACCAGGCTTGCACCTGTGTCCTGACAGAGATGATGTCTAAGGGATGTTGAGCATTCACCTTGTGTGGATGTGTTTGTTTACTCTGACCTCCACTGACCATGCTCCATAATTCCTGTTGTGAAGCCCAACCATGGAAGTAGCTCTAGAAGTACCCAGCTGCTCGTGGCTGACAACATCCAGCAGGGAGTGCTCTTGCTCCCCACCAAGGCAGTTCCTTCCAATTTTGCGGAGTAGCAGCAGGACAGATCCTTTTCAGAGGAAGATACTCAGGCGAGATTTTTATGGTTGAGCTTGGCCTTGGGATAACCAGAGCATTACCAAGCACTCCCTAGTTGCCTGTGTGCCAAACTCTGTCGTATGAGGCCCCAGCAGCTCTGTGAAATGAGAACTGGGATCATCCCCTTTTCCTGGAGGAGGGCTCCGAGGCACAGACTGAGTCCACTGCTTAGGGCTTCACAGTGTCTTCACCACTTCCCACAGTGTTCAAGGCCAGGCCACCTCCCTTGAGAGCTTCCATTTTTGAGGGGAGATAGATGATAAACAAGGAACAAGAACAAATAGATTAAATAACTACTGACTCTGATGCTGAGACTGATCCTGTGATACCCCAGGCAGAAGGACTGAAAGTGCCATGGCCTGGGGGTACAGCACAGTGACACTCTGTTCTGGTGGGTCATCGAGGTCCTCTTGAGGCTTGTGCCCAAAGCCTGGTCCTCAGGGAGGTGGAACAGGTCCTGTAGTTGAATTGGGATGTCGGGAGTGGACACCATGGCTCAGAAATGGCCTCTGGGCCCATTTTCTCAGAAGAAGCTGGCACGGAGTTTCTCTCCCCCTCATTCTCTGTCCCTCTTGATCTTGGCAGGTGATGGTTTGGAAGAGTAACTTTGATGTTGTTGATTATGGAGAAGTAATAGAAATGCCAAGGCCCCCAGCCACACTGGCCACCTCCGCAGGGAATCTGGTAAGTAGCTTAGCAGGTGTGTTCTGGGCCTTGTGACTCCAGGCTGGGTCATGGTGAACAGCATTGTGCTCAGAAACGATGAGGGGTGGAGGCTTAGGTTGATTTTGGGAAAAGGACCTTGCTACCACCAAGGTACTTATGGTGCTACCACCTTGCTACTTATGGTGCTAGATTCCAATCTGAAGTGAACAAATGAGATGGAAAGGGCTGGAGGAGCAGCTTCTAGGTGCCAGGCCCCCAGGCTGCTTGGTTGGGGAATGTTTCCATGGTACTTACTGCTCCTGGATTTAGGCCCAGAGAGACAAAGCTGTCCCATGCCAAGCCTTGGGCCACAGGACCCAAGTGTGGGGTTCCTAGAGGACTCAGGGCCCATAGCCACAGCTGGAGTGAATGGGAAAGGCCCCAGTTCTGTTTTCACTTCCTTTTTAACCATGGGGAGGAAGTTCCTCACCCATGAACCATTTTTAGTACCTTTGTTGATAAAAGAGCAGTTAATGTTCCAGAATTAAAACTGCTAATATTTTTTGACACATTTTGGGGAAAATTGATAATTTTTATAGTCTCATTAATTTAGGTCATAATCATTTTTGGCTGAAATAAATGTTAAAGCCAAAGTTGTAGAACTCCAAGGATTTTAAGCTTCTGTAGCCACAGGCTGTTTAAATCTCTTTTCCGTGGACCTTTGAGGCATCATAGCCTCTCCCACAGGCGGAAACTGGCTCAAACAACAGGAAATGGCTCACCCAAGCCCCCAGCAACTCAAGGCTGTGGCCCAGAATAGAACCAAGAAGCCTCTTGAGTCCACCCTAGGGCTGTCTGTGACTCCAGCAGATGGACACCTCCCCACTACACACAAACATACCATTCTTTGTGCAGGGGCTGCCCATAGGAATAGGCCAGTTTGGGTTTTACCATTTTCTTCCAAAGATCACCCTCCTGGCTGGCCACTGTGGCTGAGAAGTTTGTTCTCCCTCAGTACTTGTTAGTGAATGACCATTCCTCAGCTTTTGGGTTTGTTGGAGAATGGCTGGGTTGCATGATGGTCTGCTTGGTGCCAGTTCATCTTCCACCTAGAAGGGTTTTTCCACCAAGTTTGGGGTCCCGCCCTCTCTGCTATGACTCCCTGTCTTTTGGGCACTTAAGGTAAGCCAGGAAAACCAAGGCCTTTTCCCCATGCTGCCCTGTTCATTCTTTGTCTTATCAGAGTGAGTAGGTAAAGTTACCCCTCTAGTTTACAGATGTGACACCTTGGGCTAACCAAGCTGAAACTGCAGGTAGCAGGGCTGCCTGGCAGCTCTTCCCCACCCTAGGATGGCACTGCCATTTGCCTCCTGAGAATGGTTAGTATCCACCACCTGGGGCAGAATCCCACGTTCTTTTTCTTATAGTTATTAGCTTGAACAAGCCACTCCTTGGTTCTTTATTCTTGCCTGGGAGATAAGGCACCTTTGCTTACAAGAGCTTCAAGGCCTGAGAATCTGGGATGAAGTCATGTGGGGTGGAGGAAGCCAGCCTGACAGGACAGGGCATAGAGAAATGCAACCAGTTGTTCTAAACTACTTTTCAGGCCCACATCTCCACTGTTGTCACAGCTCTGCCCACTGAGCATCCCTATGTGTCACTCAACTAGGAGACAGAATGTGGGCTCTGAATAAATGGGAACAAAGCTTTTGTACATAGGGAGGGGAGGGGGGAACGGAAGGGGAGGGATGGGATAAAATAAAATTTAAAAAAAAAAAAAAAGAATATGGGCCCTAGATTCAGAACTGGGTCTGACCCTGGCTATGTGGCCTTCATTTCCTCAGAGGGCCCCAAGTAACCCCACAGGCAGCCTCTGAGGACCCCATGTGTAATGTTGGTGAGCTGTTGCCCCTGAAGTGACCTGCTAATCTTACAGTTATTGTTGGTTGAGCTCAGAGCTTTTTGTTTGTTTGTTATGAGCCCCTCTGAAGCTCCTCTAGACATGCCCTTGCCCGACACACTCCACAAGAAGCTTCTCTGCAAGGGGAAAGAGAAGAGTACTAGATGGTGTTTGTTTTGTCTCATTGTGAGTATATACATATACATAATGTAAAATCGACCATTTAAACCATTGTTAAGTGTATTGCTTGCTAGCATTTTGAGCATATTTACACTATTGTGCAACCAGCTCCATCCATCTCCAGAACTTTTTCATCCTCCCAAACTGGGGAGAGCTGGTTTTTATAACACTGTTCAGTGGTTAGATTTTTTCCTGAGATACAAAGGGAAGCTGTGTGTTCTTGCCTTTCTCGCCAAGCTTTCCCTGGCACTGAGATTCCCTGACTGATCAAGGTGTCTCAGCTCCTTTTAGGGGAGCCCAGTAGCACTGCCATATCCCATGACCTGTGAGTCTGACACGTCCCTGCCCTCCAACTCAGGCCATATTCCTTCCTTCTAGTAGCCCGGGGCTGCTCAACCTCCACAGTGTTCATATTTTGGACCAGATAATTCTCTGCTGTGAGGGCTGTCCTGTGTACTATAGGAGGTCCAATGGCCTCCTTGGCTTCTACTCTCTAGATGCCAATAGTATCCCATCCCTGAACCCTACTCCCCAACAGGGATGACCACAGATGTCTTCAGACATTATCATAGGTCCTCAGGAGTGAGCTCAGAAAGCCAGATGTGGTGGCACATACCTGTAATCTCAGCACTCTGGGAGGCTAAGGCAAGAGCATTTGCAAGTTTCAGCCCTACCTGGGCAATTTAAAGACTTAGTGAGACCCTGTCTCAAAATGAAAAAGGGCTGGGAATGTAGCTCAGTGTGAAGACCTTGGGTTCATTTCCCAGTACTGAAAAACAGAAGAGGAGGAAGAGGAAGGAAGAAAGAAGGAAGGAGAAGAATAATAACGACAAAGGAAGTTGACTTAGCAATGGGAGGATTGAGGAAGTAGGCCCGTCATCACTGTAGAAAGAGCACTGGGAAGGGGTGGGAAGAGCAAGGGGAGGAGAGAGGAGCACTAGGGAAGTGGAGAAGTATGCAGAGGGAGCTCAGGAAGGCCAGTTCCAGCAGCTCTGTGTGAGCACTCTGCCCAGTTGAGGCAAATCTGGGTCCCCACTGATGGCTGTGGCCCAGATTTTTCAGCCTGGGTTTCTATTAGAAGCCCATTTTATGGGAATGTTGTTTGGCCTGTCAAATTTTAGAATCTTCTAGGGGTAATGGTAAACAACAAAAAAAGACTCTTTGCCATTAGCAGCTTGGCTTTCTTCACTTAAAATTGGAGTGTATTCTTGCCATTCCTGCCAACAGGCCTCCCTGGCTCAGAAATATCTCAGAGGTTTAGTGGCTGACTGGGGTGGCTTGACTTCTCAGAGCCCATGAGCACCACAACCATGCCCCAGGAACTCAGGAATATGATGACCTTGTGCCGCTTTCAGCTGTATCTACACTTTGGGCTGCAGGTGCTAAAACAGCATGAAGTGCTCTTGGGCATTAGGGGATTTATGAAGTCCAGAGTCAAAGGTATCGGTGTGGATGTTGAATACCTAATCATATGTCTGTTCCAGCACGGCAGTCAAAAGCCAGACAGGCAGACACTGTTTGGGTCCCTTGCTCTGCACACCCCACTAGCAAGGGCAGCCCTATCTGCCTGTCACAGTCCCTCCATCCTGGAAAACCCCCTGCCCATGATCCCTTCCTGACTCTGCAGCATTTCAGATTTTCAGATCTCTGATCTTGGAATGAAGGCTGTCCTTGAGCCTACTCTGAACAGAGCTCTGTTCACTGCAGAGCTATTTTCAACCTCTGGTTGAAACTCACAGCTTATTTTTAGGCACATTTCATGTTGAAAAGCAAAAGCCATTTCCCAGCCATTCAGAATGAGAATAATGGGTTCCATTTCCCTCTATTCTTGGCTGAACTGTGCATGAGGGGGAGTTCAGGGCTTGTGGCTGGGGAACTTTCTCTGCTTGGAAGGTTGCAGATGAAGGATTCCAGACCATGCTATGGGTTGAGGGTAGCAAGAAGCTCTGTGCTCTGCCCTGTGACATGCTGCAAGGTTGGAGGAAGGGTGGAAGGGCCACTTGTGGGCAGACAAGCACCTCCTTGAGCTGCTTGAGTGGGGTCAAGGGGTGGGGGCTCCAGGGGGCTGTCTGTAGCAGGTATTTTCAGGGGTCTAGTGCTTAGCTCTGTTCTCTGCCCCAGCGCTGCCTTTTTGTCCCCTCCACACTTGTCCACCCTCCTGTTCTCTGTGCCTTGTGACCTGTCCCTGTTGCAGAAGGACCCCTCTATGTTGGCTTACCTTGAATTTAGCATCTGTCCACCCACCCCCAGCCATCATAGGACGGATTTCTGCCTTAACCACAGAATGACTTTTAAACCATTTTTTAAAAGTAAAGATGCATTTATTTGGCTTTACTCTTATTTTTGCCCTCCCTCCAGACATCTGAGGCCTGTTACACAATTGGAAAGGAAGGTTTTACTGGGTGGAGTGGGAGGGGAAGAACACAGAGTTCTAGGTAATTCAATGAAACTGAAAACAAAAACAAAACTACAGTATTTCCTGAGTTCTCAGGGTTGGCTGCTCTGCTACTCAGCCATTAACTTTGAGTTGTGGAGCCAAGGGCTCCTCTCTGCTCACCTTTCAAGATCTTGCTTGAGCTGGGGATTTAGCTCAGTGGCATGGCGCCTACCTTGTAAAGACAAGGTCCTGAGTTCGATCCCCGGTACAAAAAAAAAGATCTTACTTGAAGGAGAAATGTCACCTATGGTTAAGAGTTTGAGTTCTGGCTTCTGACCAACCTGTGATTGATCAGAATCCTGCCCCTCCCTAGCTTGAGCTGTGACCCTGGACCAGTGGCTGGATCTCTGTGGGGCCTGTCTTCCTCTTCTGTCAAGTGGGGAGATGCCAGGCCCTTCATGAGATTTCGTGGGTGGTATGCCAATCGGTACTTGGCACTGTGCCTGGCACATGGCAAGGGCTCACCAAGCTGTAACTATTTTAACAGTGTTCCTTTTTCCTCTTCTCTCCCACTGAGAACCA